ATGCTGGCAAAAATCTACTTTTCTCCTCTTCAGCTCTTTGCTTTCACAAAGATATTACAAAATTCTCAGTGCACTTGACTGCTTGCCACTCTTGGGATGCAATCATCAACTCAGTCAAAAACAGAGCCACTTCAAAACCTGCATGAGATTCAGCTGCCCTCACACAATCTGCACACAGCCATCTACACATGCTCTCATGTGCCGTGCATGGGACACAGGGAAGGTGTGCAGCAGCAGACATGCACACAATTCCACATGCCTGTGTACACAGGTACCACATCTGGCAGAGGTAGAACCACCCCTGGGACAGCATGTTCCTCCTGGTCATCCCCATGCACAGCATGGTCAGGTATTCTCAACTACCCCAACTGCTGCTGCTCCAATGTAAAGCCACACGTGCAGCCTCTGTACCTTCAGGAAGCACAATGAAATTAATGGGTCAAAATAACATTGAAGTATATAGTGCTTCAGGGCTGAAATCCTGACTTTCCTGGACCTTGAGAACTTAAGACAGAAGCTCTCTGCCTCAGGGGAACATCACACTACCCCTTCCTATCCCTCCACGAACAATACCTACAGACAGGGCCACCAGCCCTGGGCAGCTCTCTCACCCAATGGACACTCTCCAGCCGGCAGCACACTGCAGTTTGAGTAAGGAAAGCTGGAGGAGGTCTTATGGTGTGTGTTGTTCCTCACAAGGGGAATGGGACAGACTACTAGGGCAGAGCTTTTCCAGGGGACGCAAGTAGCGTGGCCAGGCTGCCGGGCTGCCAGGATGCTCTCACCGTCAGCAGACAATGCAATGCCTGATCTTCAGCTCTGCCTGCATCCCTCACCTCTCAATCACAACTTGATTTCAGCAGCTGCTTTCTCCCTCTCAGACACACACACACACCATCGCACCTCCTCAAGCAGCTGTAAAATTCAAACTTAGCTGGGTAGTTAGAGCCTCTTGTAAAGCACTTGGGACTCTGAGAGGAGGGGCGCTTCAAATATTCGCAAGATTATTGCCTCATTCCAGGATTTAAGAGGGCTCCCTCCCTGGCATCCTTGCTCTACCAGCTCTTGAGACAGCACTACTAAACTCAGCGGTGCTGTGGAGGAAAATAAATAGGAAGATGAACAGAGGAAAACAGGCAGCAGGGGATGTCTGAGGATGGCTGACATGATCTGCAATAGCTGCAGAAATCTGCTGGAGGCTCTTCCCTCTCATCCATCTCTCTCCTCTACTACTCCGCTCACTTACCCTCCTCATCCCCAGTTACGCTCTCTGCTTTGCCACCATCAGAGAGCACAAACCCCAGCTCAGGCCAGTGCCGGCCATGACTCATGGTCCCAGCCTAGCCCAGCAGTCACAAGAACCACATCTACTAGACCCAGCAGAGCATTTGGGAGGTGAAGGTCAGGCTGAGCACATGGAGCAACTGCATGGCCTCCCTAAGAGCTGTCTGCCACAGATGGAAAAAGCCCAGGAGCCATCACAAAACCTTCTGGCTGGGGGCAACCCATCCTCCCCACTGGCTTTCCAAGCTGCTGAGCAATACTGGAAAACTCAGCTCCTCTCCCACCATGCATGAGCCTGCCACTGACTCACTCACTGCTGATTTGGACCTGTGGTTTGTCGGTGGGAGTTGCAGAAGGTGGGATGTGGAGATGAGGTAATCCCAACGGCAAGTGGCTACTGCAGCAGAGGGGGACTAGCCACCCACTCCAGGACTGTGAACTGGCTACGCGACATGGACATGCCAGCCAGATCTGCATCCAGCCTGCTGCTGTGGTCACAGCAATTTTTTAACCTTGACTCTTGGGGAGGATGGGTTACATCACCACAACACCATATAAGGTTTTCTGGAGAGAGACATCCCTTCACATTGTCTGAGGACTTAGTCAAGGAGCAACCAGGAGCACAGCTAATGGCAAGGAAATGCAGGCAGGTCACCAGAAGCAATGCTCCAGTTGTGAGATCTCCCAGGCTGAGGGACATGATGTGGCCCATGGAAGCTCTGGCAATTCCCCAGCTGAAATCATCTGCAAAGCAAGCACAGGCTCACAGCCCCACACTGGCTGGAGGCAGGCAAGGGGAGCAACCATGGTTCATCTCCAATTCCTCAGAGCACTATGATTCCTCTCCACCTGAAACTATTCCATCAGCTGCAATTTTAAAACAAAATCAATTCAGCAAACATTGCTAAGCAACCAGCTGTCAGTGCCACATCCCACCCCACCAAAAGTATTTGCCCTCTCCATAACCTTCTGGCAAGGAGCTTGCTGCTCAGCCCTTGCCAGATTTTGTATATTCAGCTATTGTTGGCAAGTCCAGAGGCTTGGCTGGATTAGCAAAGAAAACTCCAGGAAATCTTCTGCAACCATCCTGGTGAAAAACACCCCACAGAGAGGCTGTAAGGAGCAGCACTCCCATGTCCTGAGCACTATGATCAGGCCTACAGGGAGCTGATCTCAGGGCTTTACTGTGGTCTGCAGGTCCAGCTGCTGGCACACATCGTAGAGAGGGGATAAAAGATGGACCACAAACACACTGAAAATCTGGTCACAGAACAAAGCAGGCTTCTTCAGACAACATCTGGCTGAAAGAATGAAGGAGAACCTGCCTGCTCATTGGGATGAGCTGAAGAGGTGGGTAAGACTCTCTTCGAAGCCTCCTAACAGCTTGTGTGAGCTGGGCAGGAGCCCCTTGGCAGAGCAGTGCCCCACTGCACAGCTCCTGCCACAGTGGTGCCCTTTGGTGGGGGGCCCATGCTAGGATGGACCTTCCCCTGAGGTCAGCTGGAGCAGAATCAAGGTCCACCTCTTTGACTTCATTATCACAGAAGAAAGCCTGAGAACTTCCAGTCTGGCTCACACAAAGCAGCCCAAGCCATGTTTGCTGTTGAAACCAAATCTCTAAGCACAGCCTCCAGCAGGTCACCCAGCGTGAGCCCTGGGGGTTTCCCACCTCTCACTCTAGCCTGGTCCATAGCATTCTGCTCTCTGCTTTGCAGGAGGGACCTCTCCTCCGGGATGGTCGCTCTCCATACCTTGCATAGCCACCAGCAATCTCTCCCTGCTGTAAGAGCAGGCCTTGCTCACCCACGCTGTCCTATCCAGCTCCACTGGACAACGCTGGGTTGCACAGGAGTGCCAAAGCATCGCCTGCGGCGTGTCCACAGACGCCTGCACCTTCAGCAGGGGTTTGAGAGGGCTTTGCAAGCTCTGCACCTCCCTCTCCCTGTTGACCACTCCGCCTGGACTCATTCTCCCTCCTCCAACCCCTACATCGGCCCCTGCCTCCTCCAGATCTCCCGGCAGACCCATTTCCTCCGCGGCCGCTCTAATGCTCGGCTAATGGCGCATCATCCGCAGCGTTGTTCAGACATATTCAATAAATCAGAATCCAATTACCGGGTTAAGGAAATTGGAAGCAAATGCAATTAGCCCCAGCCCCTCCCACGTGCTGTGCCCTCGCTTCCTCCTTAATGAGAACTTTTCCTTCGCAGGAGCACTCGGCGCCGCATCCGCCCGCCCGGGAACAAGGTGGCTGCCACCACCCTGCGGGGGAACGGTGAGGGGGCAGCCCAGCCCACCTTCCCTTTTAATAGGGCAGATGGTTAATATCCCTGGCATTCATTCTCTCCAGGAATAGCACGCTCGCTCTCTGCGCAGCTATAACAGGCGTCCATCAGGGCTGACAGCTCCTCTCCGGAGAAAGGAGCAGCTGGTCCTCACTACAAAAAGGAGCTAAAAGAATAAATAAATAAATAAGCACGTTGCTTGCTGCAGCGTTGGAGAGCCGGTGCTGTTTCAGTGTTTCAGCCTAAGTGCTGCTTTTGGGCTGGAATAGGGGAAATTCAGACTTGGGTCAGATACTGGGAGTTGAGTCGCTCTGTCCTAGGAGCAAGGTGCAGCCTCTGGACTGGGGGCAGCAAGGTGTCTTGGGTGAGTTCATCCCAGAGCTCCCATCAGAGCAGCACTTCCTCCCAAAGGGCTCCAAGGAGAAGGCAGTAGAAGACAGCTGATGCCAGCAGGCTGGGCCATAATGCCAGGCACAGCTCCTCGGGAAGGGCATGCACCAGCTGTGGGCTGGGGACCGCTGGCGAGGGCCAGGCATATGCTTTGCCCTCAGATGACAAGGAGGAAAACTGCATCAAGGGAACCTTGGGAGCACTTGCTACACCAGCAGGACATTCCAACATAGCTCTGTCCAGTAGATTGGCCATTAATCCCACCAATTATCAATAACCTGCAGCTGCAAAGGGTAGCTCTGCCCCAATGAGTTTGGAGAGGTGACCAGAGAGAGGCTACAGCTGCCCTCACAGCAAGCAAGAGTGCACCAAAACTCCCACCCTGCCTTTCTCATGCTGACAGAGTGCAAGTCCCACAAGGCAACCCCTGTTGCAACCCTCCTTGCCTCTCTCAAAAGGTCCCTTGGGTGCCAAAGGATATTTTTGACCCCGATGGTGCTGGAACAGCTAGTAACCCAAAAAGCTCTTATCTTTCTCTTCCCCTCAACAACAGTCGCTTATTCCCCACATTAACTCCTCTCTCTGCAGAGGAAAATAACTACTCAAGAGTTATCTCCCTTGCACCATCTCACTGCCTTTTCTGGAGAGCAAGAGTCGCTACCACCAGAGAAGACTTTGCTCACCATGAAGACACTCTCACACAACCATTACTTTCCTGAAAGAAGAAGAAAAGGGGCTTTCCCTTTCTTATTCTATAGTCCTGGATTAATTTATACAGGACATTTTATTAGTGGACTTTAAGAAATTTAATTAGGAAGTTTAGGAGTTCCAGACATACCAAGCGATCAAGCAAGCTGAATGATTCAACATTAAAAATACAACCCAGGCAGAACCAATCCCAAGCTCACCCACAGGGCACAGATGAAGGGCCCAGACCCACCTAGCATCCCAAAACCACGACCCCGGAGAGGAATGGGACCATCCACCCATACAATGAAGGTTCGTGAGGAAGGTTGGGAGAAACCATGGGGGAGGCAGAACCTGTGGTGGCGGGTGTCGCGGACGGCGCGGTCACTGGGGATCCTCTCGCTCTCCCGCTGGTTAAAGGCGTGGAGCCGGTAGGGGTCCTCGCCGCCCTTCCACCGCCGGGCGCTCAGGTACCTCCGCTCTTCAAACTGATCCCAAAGGTCGTCCCAGTCCACGTCCGAGCCCTGCACGCACAAAGTCAGCCCCGTTAGAGAGAGGAGAGACCAGAGGACACCTGACCCCGCTCCAGAGCCCATCCCAAGCCCCGACGGAGGCCAGTCAGCTCTGCAGCACGGGCAACAATCGCAGGCTCAGGCTAACGAGGAGCCTCATTAGGTCTTCAGGTTGTATTTTTTTTCCTAGGTCTTGAGACAGCACATCAAAGACAGCCTGTCAATTTGAATTTAAAATGACTAATCTGAAACCAAATTCAGGTCTCTGGTGGATCCCCCTGTCAAACAGCACAGTCTCAAGAAATACAAAAGCAGAAGGTCTTGTTAGGGTTTTAATTTCTCTCCGGTCAAAAAACAAAGGTATTTTACACCACAAGCCCCATGGCCCCTGTAATCCTTCAGGTGGGAAAGGGCCATCAGACAGGAGCACTTTCATCAAGCACAACCCCACCTTTCCACAGGGGCACCCTAACCCCTAGGCTGGATCCAGCAATGGGACCTTGGGAGAAAGTGGCCATCATTCTTCCAGCCTGGTTTCAGTCCATTTTTGCCTAATCTCCCACTGAGGACTTCAGCCCTACCACAGGTAAATAGCAGGCAAGCAGGTGCCCATGGGGTTCCCCTCTCCAGAAGCCCTCATTTTGGGGTAACCTGACAGCTCCTACATCCAAGCATCCCTTGGCAGCTTGGTGCCATCAGAGGGTTTAAGCATCCCTCAGCAGCACACTGCTCTGGGGGGATTTAGGTGTCTCTCAGCAGCGTGGTTCCTGAGCCAGCGAGCACAATGCACCACCGATAAGATCTCATCGTTACAGCAGCACAACCTCTTTGATCTCAGCCTACGTGTAACACAGAGAGATGCAAACATTTGCAGACATCTCGGCCCTAAAGAAAATTGTGATCTTATCCCATAATTGATCTTTTCTTCTTCTTTTCTTTTTTTCCCCCCCCCTCCTCAGTTCACACCATCTCAAAGCCGGTTTTGCCTGCTAATAGAGCAAAATGAAGCTTTTGAAACGGGTGATTTTTATCCCATAATTGATTTTACTCGCATCTGTCAGCATGTTTTCTCTAGTCACAGTAAGGGGAGGAGGGAGCACCAGCTCCTGCAAGTCAACCATGGCAGGACCAAGCCGGGTGCTTCCAGCCACCCGATGCCCCACACCACCCTGTGTGACAATGACACAAGCACTCCAAAAAACCTGACAGAGCCTAGGGATGCAGGGGTTTCCAGATACAGGGTCATATTCATCCTCCCCTGGTGTGACCCCATGGTCTTCTCACAAGCTCCTCCAGCACTTAGTCCAGTGCAGGAAAGGTCAGAAGAAATACCCGAACCAGCAGCTGCACTGGGAGAAAGGTATTCAGGAGCAGCAGAAAGTCATTCAAGGCTGGGAGAAAGTTATGAAAGCAGTAAGGTCACCACTGAGGTTTATGAGGAGGATGTACGTAAGCCTCCTGTGGGCTTTCGGGAAGACCAACGTACACAGGGTGATAAATATTGTTTGTATTTTTTCTACGGCATTTTTTGCCAAACATGATTTACTGCTGCAGTAAAAGATGAGGGAAAAGTGAGCTGACTGCATCGCTGAGCCACTGACAGCCTGAGCACTCTAAGATTTCCTGACAGCCCTTGGGGGGGCGGGCACCAGCAAAGCAACTGCCACAGAGCTGCAGTCCCTAAATTTTCATGCTGTGAAGTAAAGTTAGAGTTGGTTTTATCCAACTTAATAAGAGGCGAAATGTTTTTTAAAAGCAGCCACATATCACTTAAGGCTGTTGGGGATATATATATATATCTTTTTTTAAAGTCAGTTAAATCAAATAGCCTTGGATCGGCTAGCAGGCTGCAGCCAGGCAAACATCTGACAGCTCAAGCAGGAGGGCTGGGGGAGTCCCATGGCTCCAGGAAAACATGAGCTTCTGCATGTGCCAACAGGGCAGGGACAGTCTGGCCAGGCCAGCAGAAGCAGGGGGTTGGTGCATGGAAGGATCCTGGCACGTGCTTCAAGGTCTGGAACAGCATTTCCCCAGCACCCATCTAACGCCACTACCACCCTGTTACTGGAGGGTAGTCTCTCCTCTGCAGACTTTCAAAACCTACCTGGAAACATTGCTGTGCACCCTGACCTAGGAAAACCTGCTTTAGCAGGGGGTTGGAATAGATGAGCCACAGAGGTCCCTTCCAACCCCTACCATTCTGTGATTCTGGGAGGAGTCCCAGTGGTAAATGGATACACGGACAAGTACCAGTGCCTCATCCCATGTGGCATTTCCTTCTCCTCCTGCCCTGGATATACCTTGCATCCAAGGGTTGCATTCTAGGTTCCCACCACAGTAAATAACTAATACCCCTGTGAAATCTTCACCTGAAAGACATCAGCCCACCTTGATTCACCCAAGCTCTCCTTTTTGGGTCAAGGAAAACTAACAGTAGGATGATTCCTAATATCTGAGATCAAAAGCAAATAGATTCCAAAGAGAGATCGAAGAATTATTCTAAGCACTATCTGGCCACAAAACAAGCCCAGGGATTTGGTTAACTTCCTCAACCAGAAGCAAGCTGGGGAAATATCAGGTAGTGACAGGACTAGGGGGAATGGGGCAAAGCTGAAAGTGGGCAGATTCAGACTGGACGTGAGGAAGAAGTTCTTCACCATGAGAGTGGTGAGACCCTGGAATGGGTTGCCCACGGAGGTGGTTGAGGCCCCATCCATGGAGGTCTTTAAGGCCAGGCTGGATGAGGCTCTGGGCAGCTTGATCTAGTGGGAGGTGTCCCTGCTCATGGCAGAGGGGTTGGAACTGGGTGATCCTTGTGATCCCTTCCAACCCTGACAGATTCTGATTCTGTTTTTGCAGAGGACTTAGTAGTGTTGGCTTAATGGTTGGACTTGATGGTCTTAAAGGTCTCTTCCAACCTGAATGATTCTATGACTCTATAAGTAGATACCCAGGTTTGGTCATTTGCCTTCAATTCACATCTCCTGTCCAAATCTTTTGGGTGCTCTTCAGCCTTTCATCCCAAGCTTCACCACAGGGGTGATTTCAGGGGCGAAATCTGAGCTGGACGCCTTGGACACATGCACACACCAATATCTGAAAAAAAATACCTGTGCTAAGCAGTGAGGGAAAGTAAGGCAGCAGCCTAAGATGAAAACCTCCCAGCTACACAAGCAGTGAGAGGCAGGAGACCCCCCCAGCCTGCACACAAGACTCACTGGAATCCCAGCACCTGATCAGTGATAAGGAAAGCAAGGTAGAGTATAAGGGAGAAAGCCCCTTTGCTCACCCAGGGTCATCACATCAGCTATGGGTTACTAGGCAAGGTCTTCATTATAATATTTCTGCCATGTATTTTCACCTCTTCCTCACACCAGAATTCTGTCTTGGGAGCTAAATAACTGACATGCAGAAATCTAAATTTAATTTATTATGATCTAACTCACTTTAGAAGCCAAATTGCCCGGCACTAGGAAAGGATCAAGTCAATAGTCCACTTGCCTTTCTATTTATCTTCTACAGGGCTCCTCTCTCCAAGTTTCATATTCATTTTCTCTCATGTACTAGCAATAAATTTTCATTTTTTTCCTTGGAACTAGGTAATTTCTCTTTCAACATTGCAGTTTAATGGCTGGTATTAATTATAGGAAACACAGTCAATGCTTAAAAGTGTTTGAGATACTCCACAAGTCTACAGGAAAGAGAGAAAAGATGTATCCAAGGGGTAGCCAGGTGTTCTTGGCAAACAAGTGCCACCCCTTTCAACACCACATCAGGGAGTCCACAAGACAGACACTCCCCCCAAGGCAAAGAGACATGGACAAAACTCATTGTGGAGAGGAGCTCCCACCTTACACCAGCAACAACCAAGAGCATGGCTTGGCAAGACCCTTTTCCTTTGCCAGCTTGCTAAAGGCACTCCCCCAAAACCACACACCACAGGCACTCCCCCCAAAACTGCTCGCCACTTTGCTGGCAAAGGGCAAACAAACCCTCTGAGCAAGCACAGAGCCGGTTTTTCACCACAACTGTGCATGAAAGATCAAAAGCTTTCCAGTGCAAAGATGTAATTTGTCATCGCCTTCTTAAATCATGGCTCAGGAACAATAAAAAAAAGGGAAAAAATAATATTAAAAAAAGGTAGTTGTGCG